CGATTGACGCCCAGCTGATCGCTCGCATATTTTGGGCGGCCACGAGCTGGCGCCATCTGTCGGTAAATCTCGAAGCGATCTTACAGCTCGGCCGTCCTGGCGATGGACTTCGTCTCGAAGTTCCTACATGTGAAATTGTTGCGCAAATTATTCCATGTGAGAGCTTGCGAACCGAAGTGAACAGTTTGACCCAATTCGACATTTACTCTACAAATTGCGAAATTTTACTCTTAAAACATTCATTATTTTATAATTAACAACTAACCTAATAACAAAATTATCTCGTAGATTAATATTCGCTTAATGATTCATCGGGAGGACTACACTGGATCCAAGGCTTCAGGCGATCGCACGACAAAATCGTATTAAGCGGCTTCGCCGTTACGTTAAAGCCCGGTATGTCCTGAATCACATATCGATTGTTTCCTAAATTCTTTTTTATTATATACGGTCCTACAAATTTCGGGCGCAATTTTGCGCTTTCACCCGGAGTAGCCTTTGTTTTTCTAATCATTACGTAGTCGCCTATGTTATAAACGGTTGCTTTCTTTAGCTTCGAATCGCGATATTTTTTGTTATACGCTCTGATCAAGTCTATTGCGTTTCGCGCTGCCTGTCGTGACGCGTCTCTGTCCTTCTCCAGGTCTGTATCCTGTCCCACCAGGGCCTTGGTGAAACGTGCAAACTCATGATTGGCGTGGCTGCGCTGCTCGTAGCCAAATAGCAGCTTCAACGGGCTCGACTTCGTGACTGCGTGGTACGTAATATTAATCACGTATTGTAACGTGCTTAAATTATTTTTCCACTCGTCCGGTGAATTAATCAGTTTCGTAAGCGATGACTTTATAAATCTATTAACCCGTTCGACCGTCTCATTAGCCCATGGGGTCGCTACGGAAACCTTTCGGTGTTTTACATTAAATTTTTCTATGAAATCGGCAAATTTGAGGTAAAGGCCGTCCCTCGATCTGAGACTACCTCTTTCCGCCTTCCGAACATCGCGAATAAATTTTCTAAATTAACTACGACTTCCTTAGTCGTCGTGGATCGCGTAGGAATTAACCAACAAAATCTAGTGAACGCATCCACTATTACTAGAATGTGTTTATGTTTGTCTGCAGTTTCCTGCAACGGTCCGAAATGGTCGAGATGCAGTATCTCGAACGGCGCTGACGCTGAGGGATAAAGACTTGTCTCTCCCTCGAAACGCGTAATTGAATCGTTTGCCATTACACAGGTGAGGCAATTTTCAAAATAACTGTTAATTTTTTTCCGCATAGAGGGAAACCAGAAATTTTGACTGACTCCCTTAATCGTTTTTTCTAGACCGCAGTGGGCCCTATCGTCGTGATGTGCACGTATCACGCTAATTTCCATCGCCTCAGGTACGACAAAGTATAAATTTCCATTTATTTTATAATACAACAAACCGTTATTTAGCTCGAACTTGTCACTATCAGTAGTTTCTAATTCATTGCATATTTTCTTTATTCTAGCGTCTGAGAGCTGACGGAATTCAAGCTATCTTTCAAGCGGCAGTTCATGCACGTACGCTGCGCATCAGCTGAGTGCATCTACATGCGCTATTCGTGTGCCCGGTCGGTGTGACACCCGGAAACAATAGTTCTGCAGGGTAAGTGTCTATTGTGTCGTACCGCGTTGTACTATTTGTATCACAATGTGTGATACAATGTCAGACGTATAACGTTAATTTCAATTTTTCTTTCTTTCAGACTGTTAATTCCATAGGATGAGGATGTCCTTCAGCGACGATGTACTTAGGCTCTACATGAATAAGATGGTGGAGAAAGTCTTCAAGAATCGCAAAGTAGTAAGTATTGTTTCGTAATGACACTTTTTGAAAGGTTTTTTTTTATAATTTATAAAACATTTTTTGCAGCTAACTCCATCATGGATCATCCAAGAATATCAGTCGCGGGAGCAGGCACTACAGCTCATGGATGCATTCTTCACAAAATACGAACAGAACGTTTGCGTCGTACGAGTACTATTTGGCCATAGGAAGGACCACAGCCTACGATACATAACTTACAGCAAGGAACAGGAGACAGACATCAAAGCGCTGTTTGACCAAGTCATGCAAGTCTACCGTGCTATTCTCGGGTTCAAATTTGCTTTCGAAACCGCGTGTACTAGCGCGTTGCAATCGGTAACGACATTAAACGACAAGCCATATAAGTAGAGATGAAATCTCTCAATCGCCCTTACTATCGCCAACATTTCGAGCTCAAAACTATGATAATTTTTTTCAGCATTATTGGTTGCCTGGCTGAAAAACGCTATTGGACACCAGGTCCCGCTTTTCTGCTTCTGTAGCAATATAGCTCCTAAGCCGAGACTGCTCGCATCCGTGTGCAGCTCGGTCTCCAATGCTGGATTGCATAATGCGAGAACCGGTGATGAGGTAAGTTCTTTTTACAAATTCTCGAAAGCTCTGATGCAATCTTCGCCGAAGAAAAATTTTATATCCTTCTTAAGTAAATTGTACAACGGCTTGGCTTTTAACGCAAAATCTTTTATAAATTTCCTAAAATAACTCGCTAATCCTAAAAATCTCTGAACACCATGTACGCTAGATGGTGTTTTGTAATTTCTCACCAACTCGGTATGTCTTGGACTTAACGTCATCCATTTCTCCGAAATTATATATCCTAAAAACTCGATCTCTTTTTTGAGGAACAAACATTTTTTTAAATTTAACTCGAATCTGTAATTTTTTAAGGTAATCAACACCTCGGCTAAAACATCGAAATTTTCTCGCACTGACCTCGACGGAATTAATACGTCATCTATATAGACGATCACTTTATCAGCGCGTATGAGTGGATTCAGGATCTGAATGATCCGTTTTTGGAAATCGGCTGGTGCTTCCAAATAGCCAAAAGGTAAGCGTAAATACTCAAATTGTCCGTCGAGTGTAGCGAATGCGAAATAACGAGTCAAATCGGCATGCACCTTGATCTGATGAAATCCATCCTTAAGATCAAGTAGCGTGAATATCGACATGCCACTTAAACGCGACAAACAGTTCTCAATTATCGGAAAAGGATATTTTTGTTTGATCACTTGACTATTTAACGGCCTCAAATCGACGCAAAGTCTAATTTCACCGTTTTTTTTCTTACAGGTATTACCGTGGCGCAATACGGCGAGACGCTGTTTTTTATAATGCCTCGTTCCAGGAGGTCGTCCGTTATTTTCCGTATCTGTATGCGTTCCGCATACGCGAAACGTCGTGGCGCATACGTGTAGATGGAGTCATCTTTCAAATATACTCTCACCTCGTAATCGTCATCGACCGGTACGATTTTCTTTTTCTCTATCTTATCTAATAAATTAAACAATTCGTTTTTCGTTTCTACATCTAAATTACTAACACCTATTTCAAAATCTTTTTCTAGATCATCGGCATTCTCTTTGTCTACGTATAACGGCAGTTGCTCGAATAAACTAACAGCACTCGTGAATTCTGCTGACTCACGGCTTCGTCTTATCAAGGTGAGTTTTTGTTTATTTAAAAACTCTTTTCCCAAGATTATGTCTCCATCCAACGGTTTATTTAAGATATACAAATCAATTTCATATTTTTTTCCGCCAAGTTCGCTCAATGATATCTCTGTTTGTACAATTCCTTGAACATTTAACTGTTCCCGGCTGAGATTAACAAAGTTTTTATTTGCCGGCTTACAATTTTTTACAAACGGTTTGATTTGATTCAAATAAATCCCTTTTTCAACGAACGAGACTGGACTTCCGGTATCGATTAATGCACGAATTTTACATTTTTGTCCGCAGATACTCGAGATTTTGGCAAATGGTTCGGCAATTTCTAAATTTCCACCCGCGGCTACGGAAACGCAAGCCACCACCTCCTTTTTCTCGTCCTCGACGGTAACGGCGGCTGCTACCGTGGCCATTGAAAACCGCTGAGCCGTCGGCGGTTTCTCGCCGTTTCTATCCTTGACTTTAGGGCAGTCAAACTGACGGTGCCCTTTTGACTTGCAGTAGAAACATGTAAATTCTCCGCGACAATCCTTATGAGAATGTTCTCTCTTTCCGCAGTTTCTACACGCGTTATTATGCACGGATTTTACCGCACTCGCGACCGCCGTGAATTTTCTCTCTGTGTCTGTATTTCCTTCTGCTATTGTTCGCATCTTCGCAAGAAATCCGTCTATCGAATTATTTGATATCGAAAGAGCTATGGCCCTTAACGAACCCTGCGATATTCCGCCAATCAACATATGAATCGTGTCACTCGTCGGCAAGTTTAAATTTTTCATGAGCGCGAGCTTCGCGATCGCGTATTGATCGAAGGATTCTTTCGACGGAATCCATTTTCGCGCCTCTAATTTCTGCATTGCTTTATAAAACGGCACTTGTTTTTCAAACATTTTTAGCAAATCCATTTTTAATGCTTGCCACGACTCAATTATTTCGCCCTGAATCTCGTACCATTGACGGGCAAATTTTACGAGCTTACTGGACGCGGCCAGAAGCGTTATCCCGTCGGACGCACCGTGGATTTCCGCCACTTTGTCCACGCGATTAGTTCACACCTCGACATTTTCATCGTCACTCCCGCCAAATTCCGGAATTTGCGAGGCAAGCCAGCTTACCGCATTTCCGGCCGGTAAGGCGCTCGCATTTGAGAGCATTCGACTTTGTCCGTTATTCGAGTAATTAGTTTGGTTCGATCGTACATTACCGGATGTTGCTCTTGACAGGGTTACCAGCCCACTCGGACCTGCTGTCCCCTCGTCCTGGCTTGTCGGCACACTCGCTTCCTAGGGCGTCAGCCTCTGCAAGACCTGGAGCAAGATCTGCTGCTGCTGCTGCATCATCGCTGTCATCTCAGTGATAGCATAACAGAGGGCTCCTGCATTTGGTGGGTCTGCTTCGGTGGCTCGACTCGAGGACAACTCTGCAGGATCGTGCATCTCACCCGTCTCCTTCGGCATCTCCAACGTCCTCTCGGTATGACCCGCTCTCTCCAGGTGAGTCAAAATTTGTTCCACCAATAGATCGCGGTCGTTTAAGACCGGTAATTGGTATCTCTTTGCCTCTTTCTAGAGCTGTTCTAATGAAGCCTTTTCTAGGTCTTCTCTGTCCATCATGGACCTAGTTTTCGGCATTCTACTGCCCGGCACGACTCCAATCAGGATTTTTCGGCCTCTTCAGCCCGACGCGGATTTGAAAAATCCGTTAATCGACCCAACACGCCCCGACGGCAAATTTCGCTTTTTTTGATTCGACGCGGGTTATTGTCGCCCGTACACTGCTTTTTTTTTT